CCTGGGGCCCCCCGGCTCCTGCGCGGACGGGGTCCCTGCGGTGCCCGCGGAGGCCGAGGAGACCGTGTCCGTGAGCAGCTGTTTCGCATCCGAGGACACGACGGAGGACTCGGGGGTGATGAGCTCGCCCTCGGACATCGTCTCCCTGGACTCCCAGCACGACAGCACCAAGTCCCGGGACAAGTGGGCCACCGACCAGGAGGACGGCAGCGACCAGGACCTGGCGGGGACCCCGGAGCTGGGTCCGCCCAAGAGCCCCGCGTGGGAGAGAAACGGCCTTGGGCACTGGCATTCCAGGTGAGTGGGGGGGTGGCGGGGGGAGGGAGGGCACCCCAGTGTCCAGGGGAGACGTCATGGGCCACAGTGACCCAGCAGAGACTCCCTCAGTGTCTCGTACCCACCACGTGCCACCCCCAGGGCCCCCTCTCCTGACCCACAACCACGTCTGCGCACTCCACATGGGCCTGCGTCGGTAACCATACAGGGTGATGTCTTATTAGTTTATACCCGTTTATAAACACTGTCTTTCTTTTAAGTGTGTGTATATATATATATTATTGATATCAGAGAGGAAGGGAGAGGGAGAGGGAGAGAAACATCAATGATGAGAATCATGGATCAGGATCAGCTGCCTCCTGCACACACCACACTGGGGATCGAGCCTGCAACCCAGGCATGTGCCCTGACCGGCAATCGAACCGTGACCTCCTGGTTCACAGATCAGTGCTCAACCGCTGAGCCACGTCAGTCAGGCAACACTATCATTCTCTTAGTGTACGATTCCCGGCAACATCCTGTGCAAGATTTATCCAGGATGATTGTGTCGTTAGTGCATGTATTTTCCCATTTTTTAATGAAAGGACACGTAGGTTGTTGAGGATTCCACGGCCGGACGTAATGAGCAAGGCGTGTATGGGTCTCTGTTTGCACATAGAGGGTTTCCTAGAAGAGAAACAATTAGACTCTCAGAAAAACTCATTTTTTTAAACACGTTTTTATTGACTTCAGAGAGGAAGGGAGAGGGAGAGAGACAAAGAAACATCCATGATGAGAGAGAATCATGGATTGGCTGCCCTCTGCACGCCCCACACTGGGGATGGAGCCCACAACCTGGGTATGTGCCCTGACCGAGAATCGAACCGTGACCTGGTTCATAGGTCGAAGCTCAACCCCTGAGCCTCACGGGCCGGGCAAGAAACTCTTTCTTAACCTCAGGGATGGCTGACAGATCGCTCTCCAAAATGATGATCTGGTTTGCACGCCCTGCGGGGGTCACTCGGCGCCCAGGCCGCGTGCGGGACGAGCAGACAGGTACGCCCGGCCCGCAGGTGCCGTGGCGTTTCACGGGGCCGTCGTTTCTAATTCTCTGGCCGGGAAGAATGGGAGGTAGCAGGGTGGTTCCCCTCTTCTAGTTCTGCCTTTTCACAGACCCTGACTGTTGTTAAAAATTGTGATGTTACTTTAGAAACAGTCATCTCTCCCTTGTCAGTGAGGTGACATGGAGGGTCTTTAAGACCGCGGCGTGGACTTACCTTTCTGTGGTTGCTGTGGCTCGGGTATCCCCGGGACGTAGCTCTGGAGGCAGCATCTCTTCACGAGTGAACGTGGGCCCCCCTCTTCCTCTCGGGGAGACGCCGTGAGGCCTCTGGTGTCCGTTACCACGACGCCCGGCTCGGCACCACTCGGGAAGCGCTGCTCTGGGCCCTCAGCCTTCCACTGTCCGTCAGAGCGTGCACAGTGCACATGTCATCACGTGGAGAGAGGAACGCCCTTTCTCCATGAACCTAGCGCATCCCACACTCATGTTCTGTGGCCCTGTCCCCAGCCCAGGGCAGTGAGC